AAAAAATTGGTAGATTATTTTGCACGTTTATGGGCAGTGGCACCTTATATGTAAGTATTAACACTACATTCGTCTCATGAGGAACTCGTATCACGTGACTAGGACTTACTATGTGGTCTGTATCTCTGTGCGGTACCTCCGCAAATTTGTACGACTCCACTTGAGCTTTAAGAGCCATTACAGTTTGATCACGTGATTCTAATTGAAGTTGTAGGCTCTAAGGAAAAAAACAGAATACATTCACTATTAATCAAAAACGCTAAATAGCTATTGTCAACGTTCGAGGAGGATGAGTACAATGAAATATTACCTACTGAACCTCTAGGCTTTATTGTTGTCACTGAAATGAATGGCAGTGACTGGTAACTGGTGCTATCGTTTTTCAATTTTTCCTCAAGACAATTTTCCTTCCCGAGTACAAATTTAGCATCGCAAAACCAGGCGTAATTACAAAATCTAACACGTCATACCGAGGTATATGAGCGAATAACTAGTAAAGAATGAACCAATCAGTTATACATTATTCAAAGCTAAAAATTCGATGCAAAGAAATTATGCACATAGCACTCTTTTGGTTTAACGAGGACATACTGACAATCATAATCACCTTCCTGGCTGCAGCTTCTCTATCTATAATATGTCTTTGACGAAGATTTTCTTTGTTTAATGAGTTAAGCTGCGGAGATAACGGGAAAGAGTTCAAGAAAAATTGATAAGTAGAACTCAAAGGAGAAATGCTAAGGAAAAAATTTCCAATCAACGACATGCTGATTATAGAAAAACGTATTCGATTGTGACATATTAAGTACAATGAAATCCTCATTCAGAGGGTACCCTTATGAGTTTTGTCCTCATATTTGCGGTTCCCCTCCCCCCACCCTTCCGACGTACTAAAGGTATCGGAGCATTTTTTCCGCCGAGACCAATGTTTGGGTCGATCGAATTAATTAGTCACTTGAATAGAGGTTCTCACAAGGAGAGTATCCATTGTGGTTAAGTACGGCATGAGAACTGACCTGTTGGTTGAGTTGTTGAATACTTTCCACGTTTGACTTCAATCGACTGTGAAGATCTTCAATGGCGTGAGCCTTGCTCATCGCTTCGGTGTTTTGGTCGTTCCTATGAAGAAAATAGAACATTATCTTAGAGCTAAGCACTACAGACACGGACTATCAAAAGTGTGCAAAAACAAAAAAATCAAAATGATCGTGATATGGTTCTCAGAGTTCTGAAATAAGTTCACAAAATTACAATTGCTATTCTGTTCCCTATAGACCAAGGGTGGGGAGGGGGGGGAAGGGAATGATAGGCGTAAATTAAACAGGTGCTGCTTGCAAGGACTCTTAAAATCTGCTGTTCCCTGTTCGCTCGATGCCTTCTCGCGGCGTCTCCCGCTTAGCTCGCGCCAAGATTGTAAATTCGGAAACTGATACAAGGGAAGTACACAAGGGTCATTATTTTAAATGTTAAGAACATTTCCTTCAACACAAATCTTATGCGAGGTTAATTGTGTGGATTTCAAACGTAATAGTTTTAAAAATTGAAGAAAACCGAAAAATTTCTTGCGTAAGCAGTCTTCACGCAAGTAAACGTTCCAGCTATAATTTTTTGTGTGATAATTTAATTTACCTAGCACTCGAGGCGTGAATTTCTTTCACCATAAATTAAGGGGCTTATTCAGGGTAGACGGTGACAGCTGTTCACATATAATTTGGGCTTGAAAATAGACTCGCTACGGAAATGTAAATGACACCTTTTCTCCTATTTAACATTTCTCTACGAAAGAAACTAATCAAAAAGATTTCAAAAGCGTTGGTGTCTCACCAAATTAATACACGCAATCGGAGTATGAACGGATTAGCTGAAGCTGTACAAAAGCAAACCAATTTCACTAGCGAAAGGATTGCCGTTTTAAAATGCAAGATTCGGATTTACCGCTCGTGATAACTTTTCTTGACTAAATCGCAGACCTACTCAATAGAAAAGAATTCTAATAAAAAATTCTAGTAAAGGGGCAAGAGCGCTAAATGGAAACATATAGTGTTTGGTGGAATCATTACGATATCTCATTGGCGTCGAGTAATAAAACACGGTATTGACCAGCTGGCAGCATATCGTTGACGCCAGGTGATATGATGCCGTATCTAATAGTCGCCAGTTAATACTCACTCATATTCCTGAAGACGATTGCGGAGTTGATGAAGCAGCACCTGTTGCTGAGCAGAATGCGACTGGAGGGACTGTTGGATAATAATAAAAGAGAAATTGTAATGGAATGTTATATTTTGATTCTTAATAGAGTTTTGCCCTGGTTTTACATTCTTTGTAAACACAAGAATGAAGTTGTCAGAGAATTCCTTGCAATACGAGATATCCTACATTTTTTTTTCTTACTTGAAGGTTTTAGTTTAAGGAAGGCAAGCTCTTTCCGGTAACTAACAAAATACAGTTTTGAACAGAAAAAAACAGAGGTATCACTAAAACTCTGAACATTTAAGGTTGTAAGGCAATCAATAAAAAAGGAAGGTATTTTCCGCAATACTGAAATAAAGTTCCAGATTTAATGCCCACAAAACTGAATCATTCCCACTCACATGTGAGAAGGCAGGACACAGTCCTTGACAGTTGAGACAGGCAAAACTGAGTTGATGTTCGAATCGAACATAACACGAACAGTTATGAAGCGGATTAGTGCAGCGGCCACGGATCTTTCCAAAGCCGTCCAGATTTGTTAACGAACCAAAGAACGGTTCACCAATGCAGAGAAGAACTGAGCTATCCCCGCTATGGACAGAATCGCTATCACAATCGGCCATCATCAAAGTTGAACTTGTTAAAGGACGCCCTCTGTTTGTCGAACTTATAATGTTAAAATTCTAAAGCGCAGATTTTTCGCTCAAACACGGTCTTTTTTTTTCAGCTATTGTCGACTTTCTTTCTGAATTGATAAATCGAAATGCGTTACAAAAAAATCCAAGTAAGCTATTGCCGAAATAGCTGTTCTAAGTCGTCCTTCGAGCTTATTTTGTAGGGCTACACTTTCAAAATTGTGCCTCCACGTTGCAGCTGTCGATCTGTTTCGTATTCAGATTCTACGACAGTTTCGTGTATCATGTTTTAAATGTTAAATGTGGCAAAAATCATTAAAACGTATTCTTCGTTAACAATTCACAAACATAGAGAGAGGTGGACAAAAAATTATTTTCTTTTTGTACATAACCGTTTAATTAAAGAGCATAACGGGAAAACGGCAGGTGTTTCTAAATTCCTTTTCCTGTAAAGTTTTGCAACTCGAGGCACGTTATAGTTAAAAAAAGATGAAGTTTATACATAACGAGATTTCCTTTGTGATGAAAACTTAAGGAGAAAAACCTCGAACAACTGCGGACTGACCGTGATCTTGACTCAAAACACTCAAAGCCCAAATAATTAAATCGTAAATAGGCACTAAATCATTAATATCTCTACAAATTTAATGTTTTATTTGAAAATAAGATCTTGAATAGCGGCGACATACAGGTATCAAAAACCACAATAATCCTGACGGACATTAATTACCGTTAATGACTTGAATTAGCAGCTAACACCTTAAACCACAATGATTATACTTAATTAGGGGAAACGTAAAATACATATTTTAAGCCACAAGATTGCGATGAAAACGAAACAAAACTTGTAGTGGATCATGACATGAAGAAAAACTCTACAATTTTAGACTTAGCGTATGACATTGTGAATAAACCTTTAACCAAATAGTGGATTGTAAAACTAACCTTTAATCGTTCACTATCCATTCTTCTTTCCTCTGGAAGATGAAGAAATTCATATAACAAATCATTTATAATTGAGGATTCGTTAGAAGATGTTAATTTAGAGAGATTCGGAGTTTTCATGTTACATATCCTGCATACTACTAAAAATACAAAAATAAAGTGCTACCATTTTCGTGAAAAGTTTTAGTATATATTTGCCCTTTAACATGGTCTGAGCAGGGATAATTCCTTCGCGTTGGTTTAAAGCGGTCTCTTTTATTTTTTCCTAGTATTAACCGCTTTGAGACAACAAGGAAAGAAAAGTTATGATTCCTGACATGTGAATTCACCTAATTCAGCCTTCATCACAGCATTCTCCTTTTTCAGTGATTCTGTTGACTCAGCAAGTTGTCTTAAAAGAGAAAGGGGAAATCTCGTTAATATAACAAAATGAACAAGGGATTGAAAATGATTTCACGCTAACTGGAAAAAAATACTTACTCTTTATCCGACTGTAGAGCAGAAATTCGTCCTTCTTGCTCTCTGCAGAAATAGGAGTTTGCTAATCAATCAATCATTCAATCAGTCAATCAGATAGACAGAGGAAAGGCAGTCAGTCTGTCAGTAAGTTAGTCAGTCGGTCAGGTGGACTGTCAGTCACTCAGCACGGAAGTCTGTCGGAGGGTCTATCAGTCAATCAACTATCAAGTAACTACCGCTAATGGTAACTATTTTCCCTCCGTCACTCAATCGGATCAATAGGCTACCTGGGAGTTAGGCTATTGATTGGTCTGTTTGTTGTGCAGCCGTCCTCATTTGTCAATATGTAGGTCAATATATCAGGTAGAATTCTCTCAAACTCTTCCCATTCAGAGTCAATTATCAAACAAAAACTAATGCAAAAAAATTTACCTCAATCTTCCGGCTAGCCTTTCGTTCCCTTCCCTGAGTAAAAAATAGCAAAAGGTTTTCAACCCAATAACTTACATTTTGACTTATACCAAATGTTTATTTATCAAACACCTAGTAAGAACTTACTTCTGTTCCTTCACCCAGCTGTTGACATTTTCCACAACAAGTTCGCTTTCACGATGTAACCGATCGCCATTTGCTCGAGCATCCTCTAGAGATACGCGAAGGGTTTGGACCTGAAAATAGTTGTAGACAGTAAGGAGAGACCGACCTCGTTTCCAGGGTTAGGCAAGAGCACAGACCCTGAGAACGAGGTTACGAAGCAGAGGTCAGGACCAACAGTATGGTGGCTGATGTTTTTTCCACAAGAAACTGATAACTTCCGCAAAAGTGAAAGGGTTCCAAGCCAGAGCAAATCGTTTTAAATTAATAAAAAATTTTTCGGAGATTCCGTTATTTCGAAAGTTTTTACATCAGATCACACAAAACTATATTAAGACTCATACCTTACTTATTGGTGCAGATAATCGTTTTTGAAACCTACCTCTTCCATGCAGCTCTGATGCTGCTGTCGCGATATGTGAAATTCATGCTTGAGTTTGTCATTCTACAAGAAGAAGAGATCTCATTTAATCATTGACTTATTTTCTGTACAAAGGGAGCTATGTAAAGAGAACCGTCTGTGACCAGTAAGCTTCTAATTATCATTGATCTATTATTTTAAGCTAATAATATCCACCATTATGTTATTTCTTTATTTCGAGAGCTCCACAAAGATGGTGCATTGTAAGTGTTTTTGATGTCAGACATCAAAACTGTCCCCACTGACACCCCTATGGAATTTTTTAACCTCAATTCATTCCATTAAACCAATACATGTTTTAAGCTTTTCATTGATGTAATTCTTCGAATTATCATTGGCTATTTTCATACTGGGATTTCAAGGGAAGTTTTTTGAAGTACCTCATCTTGTACAAGGCGATGTTTCTCCTGTAGCGTTGCCAACTCAACTTTGAGAACCACTAGCTGCTCATCTCTTCTGGACGCTTCTTGAGATTGCTTGTGAAGTTTGTCTTGAGAAACCCCAAGCTGACTTTTTAATTCGTCTATATTCCTGGCGTACTGTTGGATCTTGAAATAAAAATAATGGTCGATCAGTTTATCGGTTGGCCAGACGTAAGTCTGTCAGTCAGAAAGTGAAACTGTACGTCTCTCTTTCTGTCTGTCTATCTCTCTGTCAGTAAGTTGGTCAGTGAGCCACTGTACATCTAGTACAGTAAGTCAAATAGTGATCGACTCAATCGCTCTCTCGTCAAGTCAGACTTTCTGTCAGCCTTTCGACGAGTCACCAAATAAATATTCAGCGAGTCAATCAGAATTCATTAATTGAAGCCCTAAGTCAGCCAGTCACTCATAAAGTCCGACACAAAGTCAATCAGACAGTCACACAATCAATCAGTCAGTTAATAACTCAGTCAAACAGTCAGTTAATCTTTCGGTCGGTCAGCCTACTTCAGTCCAAGCTAAAGTTTACTCACCTCTCCGTCAGCATGTTTGGTTTTGTCCTGATATCTTTTCAGGTCCGTCTTCAATTTCCGAACTTTTTCCTCCAGCCCTAAGATCTTTGCAAACAGGAATACAAGATCAGATAAAAGGCTTACCAATAAAGTAATGGAAAAAGTACTGGTTGGGAGACTAAGTGATCCAATGATCAACGCGCTGGACAACAGACCGAGAGACCTGGGCTCGAAGTTTATCAGTGGCCACTGTGTTATGTTCGTGGGTAGGAAACTTTGCTATCACGGTGCTCGTCTAAAGCCATTAGTAACAATAGTTAAAATTTTTGTTTGGGGAAATTGAGAAAATATTTTGTGTGGGGGAGAGGGAAGGGGGGCCCTCGAGTGGTCCCGACTTCATTTTACTTTTTTTTAGTAATAATTTGATAGCTAGGCAGCTTGGTGCGTAACAGGACGGTTGTTATTCTGAGTTAGTGTGCATGTAAGGAATCTGTTGCTACGGTCAAATATAGAAAAATAGTTACCTGTTCGTCCATAGCCTGGTTTTTTTGCTTTGTTGTTGCTAACTCCATTTTAACATTTGCTAAGTTTTTAGATCGCTGTGCCAGCTGGAAACATAAACGAGAATCTTGTGTTACACAAACGTCAGGAGATAAAAAAGTCAAAGATGGTAGAATCACAAGCAACCCAACATGTCTGATCTACGTGAAATTTTCATAAAGACGTATCTTAGGGTTTTTGTTTGAGAAATAGGCAGATAATTACACAAAATTATGGTTCTAGCTTCTTTGAGCTATTAAGCGTGTAAATACAATCAACACAGGTAAAGATTTAAAGCGCAAAAAAAAAAAAACCCAGCGATCTACCTGATCCATGGCTTCCTTGTGATTGCCGTGTGCACCAGCAAGCTGTACCTTCAAGTTTTGCACATTTTTTTCGAGGTTTCCAATCTTCAAAGCAATGAAAAGAAAAAATGAGAACATTAGCTCAAGGTTTTAATCTGTTAAAGCTCAGAAATAAGGAAGAGACTTAAATGTGTTACCAACCTGCATTGAGGCATTCCTGTGGTTCTCTTGCGCACGCTCTAAGTCTTTCTGAAATTGGTGGAGTGTTTCCTCATAGCGTTTAACCTGAAATACAAGAAAAGACGGAACAATAATAAATTAATAAAATGTCTTCCCTGTTAAAGTAATTTTCAATCAAGTGTCAAAAGTAATCCGAAATTTTATTGGTTTTACTTTACTTCGCTCTGTGAGTGATCCGGAAAACTCGCTCACTCTCTCGACAAATCAAAACAAAACATAAAACCATTCACAACTTGGTCGCCCGCGTTTTCCCGCACTTTTGGCAGTTTGGTTGTTTATACCATGAGTTCTTACTGGCTCTTCAAAATATTCTCCTTTTGTTTTGATTGGCCGTGGAAACAACGTTGGTTTTGGTTTTACAACACTCAATAGAAAATCCCTCTTTTTATAAAGTGAAAGTGACTTTCAAAGTGCAACTCGCTCAGGGAACATTTTCAATGGTGAGAGGCATATTAGAGGATTAAACACTTATCGGGCAGGTAAGGGCCCATTCATCAAGGCAGGTTAAAACGTAAGAAAAAGAAAATTAAAAGGATTGCGTTTCCAAATTTATCTGGCATAGCGTCGGCAAGGCCTTAAGAGCGGCAGCACCCTTAAGGAGTTATAAGCCCCCCTGTTTTCATCAACTGATACCGTCAAAGACACTCCAAGGCTGTTACTGTGGATTTAAAACCACAAGAATAACATATAACCATATCGTGAAAACTCCGCCTTACCTCATTTGAGTGGTTCTTGATTTTCTTCTGCGCCGAGTTCAGGTCAGTTTTTAGAACCCGTATATCAGCATCACGAGCTGCGATCTAATGAATAAACAAGTATTGTAACAAGCAAGCCACACTCAAATATTTTGACTAAAGTCAGCCGATTAATGCAGTTTACCATTTTTAGGTATCGATTTGATTTAAAGCAAAGTAGTGTATTGCGTACCTCTTCCATGATGTTTTTGTTTTTCTCTAATACTCCACCGAGCTCTTCCCGCAGCTGACCATTCGCTTTCTCTTTGTCTCGAATCTGAGTGTTACATAAACGAATGAAAATACTCAGTTAATATTCTTCTAAATTTGGAAATTTTCAGGCTAAATAACCCAATGGTGATTGATTTTAATTTCACAGATGAAAGCGATTGGGATATCTGCTCAATATTTTCAAGCAACCCGCTGATAATTAAACGGCGATTTCTCGGCAAGGAACCAGTTTGCACTATATCGTTACAAAGAACTGTATCGAAAACAAACATAGTGATGAGCTGAGTCTATCTGGAGTTTCTTCTTATCAAGGCAATTGAGGATTCTTCAAGTGACGATCAACTAAAATACGGTGTAAGGGTTGCTGATGATAACGTTTTTGTTCATTTGACCCGCTCGGCTTCGTGCGCGCTTTCATTAAAGAAATGAAAAACGCGCCGAGTGTATTGTTGAGGTATAAGAGCACGCGAGAACTTTTAAGATCACGAGAGAAGCGCGGAGAAGCAAGGGTCGAAGGCGGGTACTTCTCGCACTTCTCGAGTGTTCTTAAAAATTCCTAAGTGCTTCTATAACTCAACAATGCTCGAGAAACAAGTTTTTTCAATTTCTTTTATAAAATATATAGTGAATGGCGCGCGCTCGTACTGATGACGTAGACTGTGTGCATTATATCTCAACAGTGCAATCTTGTGATGTAAGGCGCGTGCTTTGTGGAAATATAATGAAGTCGTTCTGACCAATGACGGCGCGCGCATTTCTCTGAAAATTTTTTAATGTATAATACTATTAAAAAAGTTTCCTTGTGAGAGGTGTATGGCACGAACAGAGCTGGAAAAAATGGCACGGCCCCAAGAAGAAGCGAGCTGACAACGAATAAAAAAGGAAGAAAGCAAAAGAGCAACAGTCAATAGCGTTCGGCCAACTGGCAATGCCAAATACTTCCCGGCCGGCCCTCCACCCATTTAATAACTACGAAGTACAACAGTAATTCTGAAATATTCATTCAAGATGTAGTTGCACATCCTCTTAAACTACTCACCATGGATTTCATATCTTCCTGTTGTTCAATATAGGACGAGATTTTGTGTTCTTGATCCTCCATCACGTTTTGACAATGACGAATCTTAAAGGTAGAAAAAAGAAGTTTAACACTTAAATGCCAATGTATGCACAGTGCGTAAGACACGTGGAGATCATATGATACTCACGTGCTTCTGGGCTTCCTGTATTTGTCCTCTTAGTTGTGCTTGTTGGGTTTCCAGTTCCCGCGCACTTTCCAGTTGGTCATTAAACTGCAACGATGTACAATACCAACAATTAAACTCCACTACAACAAACATGATTGATAAACAACTAAGTTTTGAGTTTCTTTTCATCATATTCTTAAGGTTAACCTTACTTTCGTTACACAGACCTGTTCACTAATGACTTGGTTTTCTTTCTGGGAAGTCTCCAGATCTATCTCCAGTCTTCTTGCCTTGTCCTCGTAAGCAGCCGCCTTGAAATAAGAAAATCATTTACTAACATTGACTAATATGATGACAAACTCCTGTGTTGTGCTATCAACAAATAACAATGTATCAAAATTAAAATCTCTACCTGAACTTGTTTTGACATGTGAATATCAATTTAGTAAGCTTAAACATTAACTGATATTTTAGCATCGTTTCCTGGAGGCAAGGAAAGCAAGAAAACCTACGAAATACCTCGCAAAGTTGTTTATTTTACAGTGGACATTTTATGGCCTGAGAATCCTTGCAAGATAATTTAGCAAGGAACATAGACAGACAGAACAGTTTCTCCTTTCATAATGGCTTAGAGCACGCTTAGAGAGCTGGTGACTGTCCTATTAAGTTATGCTTAACACAACAGTTGTTTTGCTCACCTCTTCGACGGCTGCCTGGTGTCTCTGTTGAGCCACTTGCAAGTCTGCCTTCAACTGCTCCAAGTATCCTTCTAGCTCTCCGATCTTTAGAGAAGAAAAAAGTGTATAGAAAGATATTAAGTGAGAGTTAAAAGTTTTCCAAAACTCAAAGGAAGCTTCTCATAAACGTGGCAAAACCAAGACAGTAATGGCTTGCGATGCAGCAAAGCGCTCTTAGATTACGAATCGCAAAATCAGAACCATTGCAGTCACAAAGGCCAACCCGAACAAATTGAGAACTCTAAATAAAAACAAGTTAACCGTCTCTAACGCGGGGAAACACGTATGACCATGACGCGATTGGTTTTACCTTTGGATCTGATTGGTTGAGAGCTTAATGCCAGCTTTCTACATGCACCAATTACAGAATGCAATGATGGAAAGACACTGCAGTACCGGATTACTTTTGACATTCAGTTGAAATTTGGTTTATGAAGAACGCTAACTTATCGTGGGAACAACAGTAGGTCTCAAGATTGCACGAAAAATAGATCTCAGATAGGAATAAATGAAAGAACTCAAAGTTCCTCTGACAGCCTAAAATCATGGGAGAAGAGTTAAATTTTAACCGCCAATTTAAGTCTACACGTAGCTCCAGACATATACATTATATAGACAAACAAAATGACGTTAAAAAAATACCTGTCTGTTTTGTACTTCTTGTTGATCATTGGTGCTCTTCAACTCCAATTGCAATCTACGATTTGATTTCTCTAGTCTGACAACCTATATTAAAAAGACAAATATTAATGCACTATCTCGTCATCAATCTGTTTCAGTTCTGTCCATTCAGGCATCAACAATTTCGCAATAAGTCAATTGGTGGTTCCTGACCTCCGACACTCGGGCACTCAGCTGGTCCTGGGTAGAAGACAAACTCTGCTCCACCAGACCCAGTCTCTCTTCACAACGAGCAAACTGAGGGGAAAATAACAGATGACACTAAAGACATACAAAAAAACCCCCAAAGAATTGCTAAGTTCTTGCTCCTTCTTTATAGACTTGGTTCAGAAAAAGGTAATCAGAAAATATTCGCAAGGAATTTTCTACAGTAGGTAATCTAACGTAAGAACAAAAACAGTAAGGTTGGTATTCCTATGTAACCATCAGTTTGAAACCAAAGCTGTACTAACTTCTTGTGCAGCATCTCGATGCTTTTGGCGAGTGTTTGATAAGTCTTCTTCCAACTGAATAACTCTAGCACGCTGCTTAGAGCCCTTTGAATAAGATAAAAACAAGCATACAATAAGACGAATATTCTAGATCATTCGTTCTGTGGGGTCAGGAAAATTTAGGACCAGATATCATTTTGGTACAAACCTCTTCTTCTAAATGGTTACAGTTCGTCTGAAAGATGTTAATCTGGTCGTTCATCTCAGCTGCTGCCTGTTCCAAACTGAATATCTAGCGGGGAAGAAAGGGAAAAAAGAGAAAAACTGAATTAGGGTTTGAAGATAGAAAATATGCAAATAGGGAGAGCGTTTTTTCCGTAGGATGCAAAGAAAACCAAACATGTGTCATCGTTACTCCCAAGTCTGAGGTTCGGTTCCCTATACATATGGGAACTCAATTTTGTTTCTCTGTTCCTCGCTTGTAACGAGACGAAGAAAACATCCCACTTTATACGCAATCATCGTTTGGCTACCTCATTTTCCTTCTCACGTAGTTCCTGGTCACGTGTTGATAACGTGGTCTGAGTGGCCGTTAGCTTGCCGTTCAACTGAGCGACCTAGAGACGAGACAAAGAGAAAGGAATCATTCATTCTTGTCCAAAACTAGCTGAACAAAGTTGATGTTCCAGCCTTCCAACAGAAGTGAAAATCAACACATCTCACCTCCTCAGCATAGCTTTTCACTGTTTCTTGAAGGTTGGATAGGTCTCCCTCTAGTCGCCTTACAATTTCATCCTTTTTCGCCGTCTTCACAGAAAACATAAAACAATTGATTCAGGCTAAGTTGCTCGATGTGAAATTAAGAGATAAATCGCGCAGGTTCATTTTACTTAAGCTATTTCCAAAATTTGAGCAAACTTTACCGTTATTGAGGAGTGTAGGGAATAGTTTCCAAATCATATTCATCTATTAGTGGCGATAAAATCGATAAAGCTTTTTACAGAAAGAGGACTTGCTGATGAGAAGTGTAATGTGGAGAAGCCTCCAGACGCACCGAAACACCAAAGGCTGGTGACTGAGGCTAAAGTGGAATATTTATACTTTCTTTGACTAAGGATCTCGCTAAGACTTGTGAGATGTTTCCACCAAAAATTCGAAGAAAAACTTGACAAGAAAAAAAAACTTGCTGGTTCAAACTAAAAGCCTTTGGTTGAACCATTGCAACAGTTGTGTTCGTACCTCGTTTCTGCTCTTTTGTTTCAAGTTGGTGACCTCCTTCTGTAGCTGTTGACTGAGCTGCTCACTGCGCGTTACCTGTAAATAAGGAATAATAAATGAAGCTACGATTCGTTTTTGTCTCACCAGGAGGTAATCTTTTTAACAAAAAAAAATTAAAGGTACTCGTTCCATATAATTTCTGTCAACTTTGAAACGTTAAAAGGTATCTTTTACGAGCAGCAAATACTGCAAATTAACGGTCACCTAAAAGTCAAATTTTGAGACGAAACCGTTGATACCGTAGACTGTCTCAGTTTCTGAAGCGAATCCGACTTTTGCTATGGCAGGTTCTTAGTGGGTGGAAACGGTCAAGAAATTGGGCGCGCGGAAAACGGCAGGAGCCGTTTTCCTGACAACGAGAACGACCGTTTGACACACGGCCTCACTTTCATTTCTCTCTAATACTCGAGAGCCTGGAAAAAGCTAATGTCAGCCCCAGTCCATCACTTTCATTCCTCTCTAGTACCTAAGAGCCTGGAAAAAGCTAATATCAGCCCCAGTCCATCACTTTCATTCCTCTGTAATACCTGAGAGCCTGGAAAAAGCTAATATTAGCCCCAGTCCATCGATGATTACCTCGGCGTTCATCGAGCATCCTATTGCACTTACGGAGATAAGTAAAATAAACAATTCGTTACCTGTATTGACGCTTGCCTTCTGTCCTCCTTGACTCTGCCTAACTCATCCTCTACTTCTAGCATTTTCTCTTCATAGTATGTAACCTTGAAGGATCAAACGCAAACAGATAGGTAAGAGTTTAATGAACGAAGCAGAAATATGTGACAAACTGTTCGCACCATCAGGGCTCTATTTGTGGAGTCACTGTTTCTTCTGCGTAGCGTTCTCAAAAGACCGAAAAGCACTTGTTACAGCAAGTATGGAGGATTTCCATTAGCAAACTCCTTGGAAAATGCGACGCAATTTGTGTCTAATGGCGTTAAAGTTCTACTACTTAATGAATCAATTGCAAAGCGCATGCAAGTGCGCAGAACTGGAAAAATACTTTGTTCTATTTTAACGCAGTAGGAGAGTCGCGTTTATGCCGTTAAGATATGGGAGATGGTGACACTGTGAAAACTTTGTCAAATCAATCTTGGAAAAGCTATTGAAATGAGTGCACCTTTGGGTCTTTTTTTGATCTAAAGGTAATGCAAATGAGGGGCATTTGAGAACAAACCAATAAGATGTGAGGTGGAGGTTTTTCCTATTTTTCTCCTTCGTTTACATTTGAATAAAGTTCACACCTGTTGAACTCGCTGAGCGTGTTGTTCCTTCTCGGCCAGAATCGCGTTTTGCAGACTTCGAATCTTTTCTTCCTTCAGGGTAATCTGTAACACCAATAAGGAAAATTTGCTTTTACAAAACGAATCTTAAGATCTCAAGGGATCGAAAGAGATCTACACCAATCCCTGACTGACTTTACCTCTTCCAGCGATTTTTCGTACTTTTCTTTTGAAGCATTCAAATCTTCTTGCAGATGCCTCGATCTTTCCTCTTGGATAGAGCCCTGAATAATCAAATAAACATCCATTGTGGTTAATTCAAATTTAGTATTGCATTTTAGGATGTCATCCTCTAATTGATTTGGAATAATGTACACTGACGTAAAGTCTTTGCGAAGAGCCATGAGGATGATTATGACACTAAAGGAGTTTTGTATCACGCTTTCGCCGCTCGTTTCCCATTGTGACTTTACGCGACAAAGACAACCAGCTGAGCGGAATTAATGTGTAAGGGTGGAGGCTTCTTCTCACCGCACACGACCCTTTAAATCGATGAGATTCAACAAAAATCATTTTTATGGGTAAATAGTCTCGCACCTTTCTTAACTTTAAAATTTTAGCGGGACTTTAAGACATTCGCTTTTGGGTGATGTTCTGCGTAATGTTCTGTTTACCGCGTTGACACAATTAATTGACAATACAAGCTTCTGTACTAGGTTTTGCGTAAAATAAGTTGAAAACAGCTTTCGAGATGCTTCGAAGAGTATCAAGATACTACAGGTAGGTCGAAAAACTATTTTTTTTCCTTTTTACGCAGTAATTTTTGGGATGCTTTACTAATTCAAAATCATCCTTACCTCTTTCTGTTTGTCGCCGAGTTTTTGCTTCAAATTGTGAATTGTCTCTTCACAATGGGAAACCTGGAGTGCAGAGAATTAAGTGTTAGTTTCCAACAAAAACTTTAAAACAATTACTTATTATAACTTTCATTCTGAAGTCCAACAGCTGATTATTACTACTCAACAGAGTAGTTCGAGCCATTACAGACAATCTTCCACCGCATTTTGTCCTTCCTAACTCACCAGAATTTTCTTGTCTCGCAAGCGCAAAAATGAAGGAACCTGCCTGTCTCGATTTATCATGTGCAATTTTTCTCGATATTAAGCGTGAAAAGAAAAGTTTAGTTTTGATATAACTTTTCAATGTCTCTTTCTGTTTGACGAGGAAGAGGAATGACAAAGAAAATAAAAAAGAGTAAACAAAAATCCTCTTTCGTCGATTGATTGAAATCTGTATAAATTAAGCCTATTGTTGCATAGCAGAGTTGTGATGGCTATAGGAGCCTTACAAACGAAAATATTAAGAGCTATTTAAAACATAAAAAACTTAAAACTTAAATTTTCCAGTTCGTGCCTGAACACTCAAAAATACCTGGCTTTTTAATCTGAGGCAGGCGTCTTTTGCCAGATGTAATTCCCTATCAAGCTCTTCCATTGCGTTGTTCTGCTTTTGAGTCTACAAAAAAAATTAAAGAAAAAAATTTTTTTAAATAACCATTAACAAAAGAGACGAAGTATCTCTCTTTACATGCGAGATTTGAGCAGGTTTCTTTTTAAACTACATATAACTACTCTATTACAAAGAAAACAGAGTAATAAACAAAATTTTTTCAATAAAAAGAAAGCAATCCGTAAAATGTTTGTCTAAATTATACCTATCAATTTACTTGAGTTTTTAACGGAGATTTGGCCTCGTGAGGAAAACCGGCAAAGTTTATAAGGATCTCGCTCTTGTATAATAAAACTACACAACACACCGATCAACTTGTACATTTGCTATAAGCAACAGGTGATAAATTAAATTGTCGATAAAATCAAACAAAAACATCACCATGTAAATGTGATCAATTAAACCGAATAAAACAATGGCTTAAAAGCATTTCACTGACAAAGGATTACTCAAAACAAACCAAACATCTTGATTTCAGAACATTACACATAAATCTTTAATTTCTGTTTGACTCGAGGCGACATTAGGGTTCAAAATTATTTTCTTGTTTGACACGCGGCTTGTAGTTTACAATATCTTTAATCTTTCTATGCAAGGCCGCTCTTCCGGATTAAAGCAAAATCAACTTTATGGCTGAGTTGAAAAAAAAGAAAAATTAACACAACCAAAAGCGTTCGTAGAAGAAAGGTGAACTGATCGAGGACTCAGTATGCAGGGGAAAAATTAAAATCTCTTCTTTGAAAAAAAAAAAGTGTTAAATCTTCACGCGGTTTTCCTTCGTTTATTTCTTTTCATCCCTTTTTGTTTTGGTTTCAAATTCTCTCTGTCTACGAGACTGACATAATGTAAAAAAAGTTTCTCTAAATTATCAGTGCATCCGTAGAATGTCTCGTTTCGGTTACAAAGTCAACTTCAAATGCAAATACTTAATTCAAATGGCTTAACCAGATTTGGTATCCCATCACCTTTTCCGTTTCACTCGCATAATTCTGTCTCAGCACTGTCAGCTCTTGAGACTGCTGGTTTATTTCTTCTTCGCACTTCACCGCCTTGGAGAAGAAAATAAAATGTTTAGCAGTAAGTTTGAAAGAGGAGTGTTGCCTGTCCAGTTTGTTGGCTTAACAAAAGTTTTTAGCAAAGCTAAGGAAAATTGCGTTTTAAAAGAAAGTTTTCCTTTCATTAGCATGTAGCAAGGTTATTAAACTTATTATATGCAGAACATCATGGGAGCCGTCGATTATGGAAGGATGTATCGTCAGACTCTCTAAGTAAACATCAAAAGATATGGGTGGAAATTAGAAAGTGATAAGGAAAGGAAGGCTTGATGCTTGAAAAATCAAGTAACAGTATGAAATCCAACAATTCACCTGCTCTTGCGCCTCTTTCAAACTTTTCTCTAAGTTCTTGATCATAGCCTCACATCGATTGACCTACAAGCAAATGTGACAGACTGAATCAACCCTTTACTCTAAGGAGTGATCCGCACTTAAAAATTCTAACAATTTTAACACTCCGTCGGCCATACCAACAACTGAAGAGAAGAAAATTCGTAGTTAAAGAAATTGTTTTAACACCACGTTCTCAGAACCAGATAACGAATATATGTACCGCAATCAGGAGGGCGAATTATCCTTCAGATTTGAGAATTTAAAAAGGGTTGGTTAGACAGAAAATAAAAGGCAAAAATAATGCATTACCCAAACACACATTAAAGACATTACCTGAGTAACACTTTGATTAAACTGGCTTTTATAATAGTTGACGTTTTTCTGTAGTTGATGGCTGTGCGATTCCAGTTCCTTGAGCTTTTCTTTCAGATTTGAGGCCTAAAATATGAACACGAAGGTTTAACGGTTTGAAATTACAATAAACATTGATGATAAATATCTTGGAATATTTATATTGAACTGCCGAGCAGAATCACGGTAATTCATTCACTTGCCTGGTTTCTTGTTTCTGTCATATCTTTTTCTTGACTACGGACAGTTTGCTCTAAACGATTAATCTGCCAGGATAGAATAAATTTTCATGGGGTGAAATGTTCAGAAAATCCAAATAAACGTATGATAAATAATATATAAATGAAATAGTAAGCAAATAAATTTTTGTCGTTGGACGAAAAGATCAAGACAAACCGGCAGTCTAACAAGAAGTCAGACAGACAAACAGACAGACAGGCAGACAGACAGATAGACAGACAGACAAACAGACAGGCAGACAGCTAAGGGTGGACAAGGAGGTGAGCATATATATATTTACAGTATGCAAAAACGACGGACTCGATTAGTATTCTTGTTTAGTATATACCACACAGGTGAATGGTGCTTTTCGAGCGTTGATTGGCCAGTTCGGAAGTGAATAGCAAGTACTATTCACCTCCGAGCGGCCGATGAGACAAAACCCCCGCGCGTCAAGAGTTTTAGTTTTCGACTACTTTTCGGTATATTGAAAGAAATAAACTAATTTTTTGTATCTATGTAGTATATACTAACACAATTATTCACCTCACTGTTGTTGAAAGTGATGGATATTCACCTCGCCGCCTGAATAATTTTTAAGTAGATTTGCCCGACCAGCCTCGTCAGTATGACTTAGGAACAATTAAACCTTAACTCAAAGATGAGGCTCGTTAGGCCAATCTACATGAGTACAAAAGAATACCAATCGGGCCTGCCATTTATGCACACTGTCTATAGAAGCAGATGCGAGTAAACGGGAAAAGGTAGACAAAGAGATAAGTAGGTCTATATAAGGATGTACAGACCGGTATAAAGCCACGAGGAAGCTAGCCAGCCAGCGAACCATAAAGACAGACAGACAGACAGACTGACAGACAGACAGACAGACAGACAGACAGACAGACAGACAGACAGACAGAAAGATGAACAGACTGTAAGTCTTGTCTTACCTCTTCAAGTGCTTCCTCGTTCAGTTTTAGGTTGTGTTGCAGCTCACGGGTCAGTTTATTATTTTTCTCGCGTTCTTCTTGGAGCTAAAACAATATCAGTATAACATTAACACGTTATAAAACAATACCATTTTTAATCCATCGCATTACTACTTGCAGAAATGCAATTCCCTATGGTTAATCAGAGAGACTTTTCAGTTCATTTTGAAACTCAATTTTGGTGGCTCTGCGATACTCTGCCGGGCGGTTATATAAAGACATCCCCCCTAAGAAGTCAAGACTAATGATTCTTTTGCTTAGGACATGGGCTTTTTCTTGAGATATCCCTCGACTTCATTAACTTCATGGATAATTCGCTGACCTCCATTTCAAAGGGCATTCCCGATGCACTTTCTGAAAGATTCGGCACCTCAAGAACAAAGCGAGCTCATAACTGGTCAACCCATGGTCCGACGCGATCAGTCTGTCGCCAACGTTCAGGTCTCGAGCTAGACCTATCATAAGTATCTTTCTAGTCGAAGTAGTTTGATTGTCGTAGAGACTCACCTGGTTAGCGGTATCATTTTCTTTCTGCATTACTTCAGTAAGGTTAGCCCCCAGTGTTTCAATCTCTGCATTAAGCCGTTTAATCTGTAATCAAATATAATGGATGCTTCAATCACTTTTGCAACCTGAAGCCATTCAAAAACGGACGTGAGAGAAAAAGGCGTAAATGGGGAACCCAGTGTCTGGCTCGACCTCTCTAAAAGGGACCGACACCCGGTTCTCGTGAAGCATAAAGGAAGATTACCTCCGATGAATGTCCTGCCTCTGTGTCTGTCATGGTTCCTTCTAAATGCTCAACAGTCTGCATAAGTTGTTGGACCTGATAACAAAGTTGATTTGAAAAGATAAGAAATGTTAATAGAATAAGAAAGATTGTAAGAGAGATTTTAAGTAAGAAAAAATTCCGAGTCCCCATGAGACACGTGTCATATATGAACTTCGTAATGGCCTCGCTCACCATGGAGTCCCTGTGGCTAAGCGGTAGAGCATCCGAGCGCGAAATTTTGATTCCTCGTGGGGACTCAGAATTTTTTTCTTTGTCCCGCTCTCGTGACAAGACGAAATACATCTCTCTTTAAGATAAATGTTATTTCTAATGTTAACCACTGTTCACTATTCTACAAGTATCATCGTAAACAAAACCAGATGACGTCTCCTAAAAAAGTAAAGCTTAATGCGCTAAACTAACCTCGTGCATCAGTCGTACTTTGTCTGTCTTCAATTGTTGTATTTCCTTATCATCACATGCGATCTGCGAAGAAACAAAATGGTTTTATACGATCGAAATCCCCAAAAGAACAATCTTATCAAGGGATGGCTTTCTCATTCACGCGTAATCGGTGAGGTTCGGTTGGAATCATTGTTGAGGATTTACGCTTGTGACTAGTGTCTACATGTTTCCTTTTGTGTCCGCACCTTGTTCTCGTCACTTTCACGTTGCGTTTTGAGCGACTCGACCTCTACTTCCAGTTTGTTGAGTTTTCCTCTCAAGTCTTTTACTTCTCGTTCTCTCTCTGACAACTCACTGCTACAAGTCTCGTATTCCTGCTGAGTGGCGTCCAGTTCAGACTGCAGGCTCAGGATTGTCTCATCGCGTTTCGCCACCTACAGGATGAATCCAATTTACAAGTTAGTAGTTGTGTTTATGTCACATTAAAACTGTGATATATGAACGGATTGTATTGCTGTTGAATAAATCCGAGGTTCCATGGATACAAATATCCATCGCTTTGGACGAAAATGGGAAGGAGCTTATCAGAAATTGTTATAAAAGCAAGCGAACTACTTGAATCGCGAGAAAATACAGGCTATAGTGACCAATGGCGTTTGGTTTTCGTATTGGACTTGAGTGGATGGAGAGAAGCGAGTTTTCTAAACCAATCACAGAACAAAGAAGAGAAAAACTAATGAAATCTCAGACTGTTTTGCACCCAAAAACATAGAAACTAGAATCGGAGCCTCAACTTAGCATACATTTCGCTCACTGAAGCTGTTTGATACATCTATCAATTCAACTGTTCCTTTAGATTATTGAATCACAGAAATTATCCATAAAAGGCTCATTTGCTTATTTTTTTACCTCCTGTGTACATGTGCGGTGTTTTTCCTGTGACATGGCAAGCTCCATTTCCATTTTGCGAATAGTTTCTTCCGATTCTGCCACCTGAGGAGAGAAAAAAAACCTTAATGACTTCCAACAGTTTTGCATATTATGGAGGTGGGAGGGGAAAAAACACCACCTAAAAAGCCTACTTTTCGTGCACCTCGCTCCCACAATTCCGCGCGCTGACACCAATTTCTCTTCAGAATTTTTTTACTCGCGAACAGACTTCGCCGATAAGGAGAGACTGCTCAAAGTATACATTCCAGGAGTTCGGGCCCACGGAGCCAACGAGTTATTTGGCTCTCCAGATTCCAGATGTAACCAGTATGTAAGGTTTTGAAGAAAGAAACTTGTCAGGGAAACTATGAGTATATTTTAGCGAGAAAACTTTTCAAGGATGACTTGCGGTGTAAACGCGGCTTATATAAGAGGTTACACCAAATTGTTTGCACTGGATACCTCATCATTCGACCTTGACACATCTTCTTGTAGTGACGTTATCTCATCACGTAATTTTGCCATGAGTTCCTCTTGCCGAACAAGCTACAAAAGAGAAATATAAAATCGTTAGTGTTTTTTTCTCACCGTAAAAAAGAAGATAGTTTATAAAATATAAAACGAATATTTTCTTTTTCAAAATTTCGAGCAGGACTGCATGGGTTAAAAAAGGCTCTGTGTTTGAAAACTACATATTGATACTGAAGACACGCGAGTTGAAAATTCAAAAGAACTATATATAAAATTACAACACGTTATGCATACACTATGCATAATCATCACAATTTTGAATATTGTAACAATCAATATTTTATTAGAAATTGGTCTGCATAGAGTGAATTAAAACGCAAATATAAGTATGTAAAGAGCTCGAGATCAACAGCGATATATATAAATATACAACATTTCGAGCGGCGCTTGGAATTCTCATCCACAGTTTCATGCCGTTTGAAACAAGGGAAGACAGCGATTTCGCCAGCTTGTTGTAACACAAGCTAAAGCGACTGAACTCCAAATGTTCGCTATATCGCAGCTTATTATAATAAAAATTTTCTGGAAGAAGAGAATCTTCAACTACAACGGGTTATAAATAGGGTTTCTAAAGAAAACTGAATTGTTTTGATGTATAGTTAATCGTGTTTGATATCTTCCACCAATAAGTTAACTATAAACAGTTTAGGAGTAAAGAACATAGAAGATACTCAAGGCTGTCAGAGTAGATCTATTTACGGCTCCAATCGTAATTCTCAATTTTCATTCTTATAGTTACTCTATAAATGCAATTCCGGTTCGCTTCTACTGTACAAATACTTTTCTGTTAAAATGCAAACACGAATAAAACATTATGCAATTTGTTGTCGACAACTGTGCATTGAATGGTTATAAATAGTTCCGGGTTTACAATTTGCTGATATTTTGGCAGCTGTTAATGATTTGCATCGAGCATATTTTAACAAAAGGAAATTAAAGACATTTATAAATCATGCTTAGTGTCATGGGCTCTCAAAACGATTTTGAATCGATATTTGCTTATGAAAATTAGCCCTTGATTAGGACATCGAGCCGTTTATCATCTGTGAGCATCGTTTTTTTTTGTATTTATATACGTTTTAGAGATGCTGCAGCTGTCGATCTGTTGATAAATAATAGTAGGAGAGTCCTTCGATTCACGGCGATATATGGTAAACAAATTGTTTAAAGGGAGCAACACGAAAAACATTTCATGTCCGATATACTAATCGCTCAAAAGGGCAATTACTTGAGCTAACGAAGGCAAAAAAATGGTTATGTAACCTTACCAAAGCAAGATGATTTCTTCGAAGCGTGTTCATTGTAGCTATTTGTCGCTTTAACTCTTCGCTTTGTTTCACCGACGATAAGCTTCTGTAGTTCAGTGCTAGCTGATTGTTACGTCACGCTTTTCATCATTGCACGTCTAATCCGATTTAGATTCCGCGCGCGCTTTGACTGAAACACAAGCGAAATAATTTCCTCTACTGTTTCTCTCAGTTAGTACGTGCGCTATGACTGGTCAATCTGGCCGGCCGAATTTTCACGTTGCGGCCCGCTAAGTTCAAAAGTTTGTTTCAGTTAAAAACTTCCCCCCAACTTGAACCCAGGGACATCTGAAATATCTCAATAACCTCGTTTTCTCGGTCCACTCTGTAAGTTACGAAACCTCGTTTTTTCCGCTGCGCGCTTAGACCACAATATCCGAGAGGAAAAACCGTGGTCCGTAGCTTATAGTACGAAACAATACAAAACGAGGTTAGTAAGGGATATGTATAAGTAAAATATGATTAAATAGCAGTGCAAATGTCACACCTCGTCGTAACATTCGGTATACTGTTGCTGTGTTTCGGCGAACTCCTCTTCAAGCTGCTTAATTCTTTTATCTCTTCTGGCCACCTATGAACACAACGATCACGTGAGAACATAGGGTAAGAGTTATTGATTTCGTAAACAAAACAAAGGCTTGTGACGAGTTGCGTGAGGTACTAGATTCATTTTGGCTAATTACACCTTCCTGGAGAGAAAAGAGAAAAAGATTCTATCGGCTCAAAGGTAACAAGAGTAGTTCAGATTGGAAAGTTTTGAAGCAGATTAGAACAATTTATAATTGAGTGCTGAGCGGTAATCTTGGATTTCTATATTTTTGCTTTGATACCCATATGGTTTTTTCGAGAAAACTCGCGCCTCACAACACAAGAATAAAACTTAAACCATTCACGGTCATTTGCCCTTTTCCGCACTTGTGGTCGCTTAGTTGGATGTAATCAGAGTTGTTATCGGCTCCTTGCCGTGTGAACCTTATGTATGTTTGGTAATTGTGATTACGGCGGTTTTTAGTTTTGTCACTCAGTCGAAATACTCTCTACAATAGAGCGGGACACACCAGGCAATTAGTCGCCGTTACATTTCGGTTTCTGTGACATGAGAGTTTTGGTGACAATCCTACTTTGTCCAAGCGACGTAATACTGTCTCGCAAAGAGTAGTACAAATTCAGACTGGTTTGATTAAGCGTTTCCTATGCCAGGATCTTACTAAGTGGAGACGGGCTAAAAGGTGGGCGCGCATGCAAAAATATGGCCAGCAAAGGAGTGCGAGGCAGTTGCCCGCAACTGAGCAGTCACACGTTTGTGTACGTGCGTAAGTTGTAATGGTCAGGGGAGGTCTTTTGAAGCGGTCAAAACCAATACGTCTCCCAGTAGTTCTGAACAGCCAATCAAGTAAGTGAGTCAGGGCGTTTTAAAGTAATTCCACCTTTTTTGATAAAGACTTGCGTTCGAAAAGTCTCCAGCAATTATTTTCTTATACATATTTCGAAGAAAATCCCAATTTTTTAGCAGGTCTTACGAGACGGCAGTTTTTTCTTATCAAGATTCTTTTAAAATTTTGTTCGGGACAATGGCGTGCATCCGCAAAAAAACTGACCGTATTACGCATGCCTAACTTTTGACCGCTGTTTTGTTTAGCGTTCGCTTTTGCGTTCGTCCCCTCTGACTGAGAGCTTGGATAAGGCCACAACAAGCGGTTTGTCGCACAAACTTGTAAAAATGAATTGGTGTTTGCGGTATCTCGGCTCCTTATTTGAAAAACCATGTTGCTTTGGTCTGATCTAAGCAGCTACTGCATCGTTTGTTATCGTCGTATGTCTGGTTAGGTGCGGAGAATCGAGTAATCCATCAAGCTGTGCAGTCAAGGCGAATAGACTGTTTCAGTTACTCTTCCCTTCCGTCGTTTCTCTAAAGCGCTTCTCAGACGGACTTCACTGATACAAAATAATCATCAAGGATATTGCACTGAAACACTTTCGCTAACTTTTTTTTACCGCCTTAACAAACTAAAGAGTAGCAGCAGTTTATGACCAAGGCAACATTCAAGACCATATCTTTCAGCAGAAGCTAAAGCAGATCCTCCGAAAATCAGTTCTAACTAAAGCAGAAAAAATGGTCTAAAATGTTGTCAATATTTAAGACAACAGAAAACCAAGAGACCATCTGCTAAAAATATATTTATTAAAAATATTGATAGAAACTATGTCACAATTAGTCATTGATTTTCTTCAAAAACTCAAATCGAGAATATATACCAAGATACAAAAATCACAATATATTAATTATACTAAATTTCAATTCTTTTCTCTCTCTAATATCACTGCTTTCATGATTTATAATTTGGATTTCTGGGAGAATAAGGAAAATTAATTGTACAAATCAAATGAAATAATCAAATGAATTATAAAAGCGTTTGAAGTTTTTTCAAGTAGCAAAAGTTGTGATTCTACGTCTACTGCTTCAGATGAAAGATGGTCTTGAATGTATGAACTGCTCTATCGTGTTCTTTCTACATATACGTCATGATATGAAAGAACGTGGATTGGGCCTCTATAAATTGCGTACGATTGGTATTTGAAGAAAGCATCAACCATAATTTCAAACCACAAAGCTAAAAATTCAACTTGCACTCAAACCGAGCAGTTGAGCGTTAAAAACCATAAATAATATGAACTGTCCAAAACTGATAGGAATACCGCATGTCTTGAAATGAAAAAAATATATCTTCCAAATAAAACTGTAAAATGTAAAAAAATATAAGCGTGCAAAGAATGCAGAAAAGCTACCATTTAAATTCCTGAAAAAATTTCAACTATAACAAACACGATTTCTTTTAAACTTTCGACGATTACTAGTCCAGATTGGGGCGAAATCAAATCTAATGAGCCAATTTATTCCTGTGGCAAATAAGAATCAGTATTGTTGTTGGTTATGCTGTTATTGTTAAGGAACAGCTCGCCTTCCACACTCACATCATCAGCTGTTTTCTCTTTCAGATTCTCAAGTTCTCGACTGCTTTCATTCAAGTCTCGTTCCAGTCGACTGATCACATCGAGTTGCTGGGAGATCTGGGAATGAGATATTGAGTTGCTGAGTTTGTGTTTAACTGATTGACTCGTTAAAGCCGTTTAACTGATTGAAAAGCAGATTAAGCCATAGAAATGAAATGAAAAACAAGAACAGCCTAACTTTAACAAAAAAACACAAAAATGTTATAAAAGAAAATTCGCACCTCTCGTTCTTTGTCTCTTTGTTGATCTTTCAGATAGGAAGTTTCAGACTTTAGGCGATCTATCATTTCGTCCCTTTTAGACATCTGATAAAGAACGAATAAGAAAAGAAGAGTTACTTCGTATACTTTGCATTCATTGGCAACTGGTGACAGCTCTATACAAAATGGAAACTCACAATAGAAGAAATCCACAAGAAAAAACAGAGTACAGATTAGCAAACCTTCGACAAAACATCTCTGTGCTGTTCCTGTAACTCATCCATCTCTGAGGCCAAGTGCTGTATTGTGTCCTCCTTCATTTCAGCCTGATCGAAAGCAGACGAAAAAAATGTTTAAAACTGATTCTATCTGATATCTCAATGATTTTCTCCAATACCATAGTTTCAGGTGTCTCACTTGAACACGAACGCACAGACGGGTATTCACGTTGTTTAAGGGAAATCGATTTTAATATCCTATCAGAGCGTTTTCCGACTGAGAGTCATAAAAGCAAAACCCAACCAATGACAATGGCCAACAAATTCAATTAAGAGCCCATAAGAACTAAAAGTAAAAAAAAACGAAAACTCCCTAAAGCGCGGGAAAGCGCGGGCGACCAAATCGTAACTGGTTTTAGTTCTGCATTTGATTGGTTGAGAGGGTGGCACAAGGTTTATCGACCAATCACGGGGCGAGGTATAGCAAAACCAATGCATTAATCTCATAAATTTCGACACTCAATTAAAAACTGCTTCAGTTTGTGGTTTTGTATTAAACAGAGCGTTCACTCCATCAATCGATGCCTGGAAACGATCCTTACTTCGTGTTCCCTCTGGTCTCGATCGCCTTGAAGTGACGTCATTTTCAAGTTGAGTTCCCGGATGGTGTCTTCGTAATGCTCGAGCTGCGAACAAGAGCGGTTGGACAAATTTAAGAACTTAGAATAACTAACATTAAAGGTCAATCCTTCAACATCCAAGATTTAATCAGTAAGTGTCACCTTCGCCTACTTTAAATTTTCTTGTAATTTGGTTGTAGAAATTTGATGATAAGCCTTGTGCAAACATCCAACAAAGTAAATTAAAATTACCAGGAATCAAGATTTTCATGACAACAACAAGAAAAAATCTTGACCTTATCGGTGTATTCTTCGGACTTAGATTTCATGTCGTTCAGTTTGGCCTCCATGTCGACTACTGCTGTATTCCTTTGCTGCATCTGCGGGTAAAAAGTAACGAGATAAAAAAAATCGATCAAATGCATGTAATGTAGGTCTGTTTCGATTTCGAAGAGAATTTCACATGAACGAAACGAAACGTCAAATCAAAACGATGAAATTTTAATAACCTACGACAAAAAACAAGAAAACGTCGCGGCGCCAAGTCCGAGAACTCGCTTTAGAAAAGTCCCAAGTCTCTTGGCCAGCTTTGATATGTAACTTAGCCTACGGGGAGGCCCTAACTATAAGTAACGCAGGAAACGCTTTTTTCCACCAGCGGGAAGATTTGAGACGAGTCGTGGAGACATTTACCGGGGGGTCTGTAACTAATGACTGCAAGACCCCATGCAGAATTCTCACGACTCGCGTTGCACAAGCTCCGGGCCTCGTACTTTCCCGCGGGCGAAGACACACTCGTGCCGCAACGAAATCGCCACACACGCTATTATGCCCAGGAAATAGTATTCTTACATCTTGCAGACAGTCTTCATATTGCTGTCGAAGTCTCTCAACAGCTCGTTCGTGCTCTCGAACCTAAAAAAGACATTCAAAGCAATTAATTGGAAATTCTTCGACCATAGATGATGTTAAATAATATTAAATATCGCGGTAAAATGGACAAGAAAACCAGTTAGCCTTTTGAGAGGCCTCCTTGAGAGTGATAACAAACTGTAAATATCGGGCGTGCAGATTTTCCGGAAAGGTTAAAGATCACTAAAAGAGTAAAAAAGGAAATCCACTAACAGTTCACTAATGGTCACAAATAGGACTATATTTCGCTTAAGACACCAAAATATTACTCTTAGTTTATTTCTTGTCTCCGTATCGAGGCCGTCGCACTTACATTATCTTCAGCCTTTTGCTGTTGTTCCTGAAGAGACAACTTTTCGATCTTAAGCTTATGTATAGCTTCTTCTCTCTTGGCGACCTGGAAACATAAAATTAACGTTTTCTATGAACGACAGGGGAAGGATTGCGATACATTTTTTTTTAACAAGCTCCAACAGTACCCCCTCGTTTCTTGCCAATACACTCCTCGTTTGGGAAAATAGAGAAATTATCAACTGAGTGTTGAAAGTGATCCGAGGGTGTTTTAGTTTTTCTTTTCCTCGCTCTATGATTGGCCCAGAAAACTCACTCCACTCTCTTAACCAATCAGATGCAAAACTGAAACCAATCACGACTTGGTCACCCGCGTTTTCCCGCGCTTTAGGAATTTTGGTTGTTTTACTTTGAGGTTTGACTGGCTCTTTAAGCTATTTTCCTTTCTTCCGATTGGTTGCTGTGATAACTGTGGTTTTAGTTTGGCGAATTTCAATTGAAAAGTGCTCTAAAAAATAGCATGCCCCACCATTTCGACTCCTTGCGTGCCTTTTAACCCTTTTCTCCCTAACATCAGTATGCATATTCTCCATACTGTTCTCTACACATTTCCTGAAGTGTAGACAAGGAGAATTTGTTTAAAAATCAAGAGCTTTATAAGTTGGTGATCATTTCCCTGATTCTCGTGACCTTAATGTTTGATTCAGGGGTGATATTGTAAGAGAAATTAGAGGCTGGGCACTCTGCACACTGGGTTAAAGAATTAATACACGTCCCACGAGGCAACAATGGAAACTGAATAAACAATAAGGTTGTCATGACAAGATTTAAACGAACCTCTTCTGCCAACACGTCTTGCTCGCTCTGGGTAGAGATCTTGTAAGCTTGAATTTTAGCTTCGAGTCTTCCTTTCTGCAATAGAACACACCATGGACGTTACCGTTTGTTCAAGTTAAACAAGTCCGAGATCCTTGCAAGCTGTATGCTGAGCATTTATGACGGCCTTGATAACAGTTCTAGTTACCTCTTCAATCGCATCCTTCAGCTGTTTCCTGCTGCCCTCCAGATCTCCCTCTAACTGCTGAATGGTGTCGTCACGTCTCGTGATCTATAATTAAAAAGGGTTACACTGTACTAAAACGAGTGCAAGGGTATTACTACAGGGGTAGGGTGGAAATTCCTAAGACTGCCACCCCCCCACCCCTTTTTTGTGGGGTAGAGATGTTGATTCACGATAATACAACAGCCTGCCGTACCCCCAAAGATGCCGATGATAGTCTACTGAAGGAACCGATTTGGTACATTGATAAATTACTTACGGTCTCCATTCTCGATTGAGGCATCTGTAAACTTTTAAGATTTGGCCAACAGAAAACAAATTTAAGTAAAAATATTCTTACGTCATCAAGTGCTCTTCGATGGTTTTCTTGCGCTGTTAGAAGCTCCAGTTCAAGCTTTTGAATGGCTTTTTCGCGTCGAGACACCTAACATTAAAAGAAACGAAGATATATTACGTAACAAGTCACACGCATACTATGACATGCACCGAGCAAGAGTAACTCTCCATTAGAGCAAACGAACTGACAAGAAAGTAAATCCATCCAGGAATTACAACACGTATTAAAACTTACCTCGTCTACAAAATCTTTTTGCTGCACTTGAAGTCTTTGTAAAGCCTCTTCCCTGTGGGAGACCTGCATTGCGCGAAAATGCCAAAATTAGGAGAGGGAAACAATTAACGGGCTTGATTTGCTTTTTATCTGTTTTGTCTTGGTGGAAAAGAAAAGCGAATAGCAATTCACACTTGCAATTACAACTCTGAGTTGAAACCAGTGACAGCTGAAGGAATTCTCTTAACTGACTTTGCTCGTCACGATATTGAAAATGAACCCTTTGCACCTTGACATCCTTATCAATGTTCTCCATACCGTTCACTATACATTTTCTTTGGTGCTGACGAGGAGAATTTGATTAACAATCAAGAGCTTCTTTACTTAGTGCACATTTCCTTTATTCTCACAACCTTAATGTTTTATTTAGGTATTATAATGAAAGGAGAAATTAGATGCTGGTCACTCTGAGAGGTCAAAGAGTTAATAGCTCGCAGCATCGATTTGTACCTTGGACTGAGCTTGTTCATGCTGATCTTTTAAGTTTGAGAGAGCCATCTTAAGTTCCCGCAATTCTATATCTTTGTCGTCCACCTAAAAGATAAAAAGTACGTTGAATTAAGAAATAGAAATACTCGGTATAAGGTTCAAGAGAGAAGTTTTTAGAAAACGTAGGATTAAATGATATATTTAAATGAATCCAGCACCTACCATTTTCCCGAGATGATCAGACTTTTCTAGGCTGCTTTTTTGACTCCTCTCCAACCGATTTTCCAGGTCAGATAACTGCAATATAGGACCACAACATCATTAAGTATTAACGAATAAAGAAGTCTCTCAATTTACCAATCGGGTGTTCAAGAACGAACTTTTACAATGGCCTTATTATGAAACTTTTATTGCCGATTAATTTGTTTACAGCGACGAGTTATCATGATTAGGAAATTCGACGGGCATAGCTAAGCCTTTAAGTGATGTGTCTGAAGTTTCTCGAACGGCCAATCACTACATGGTCTTCTTGATAAACTCTTTACACTGACGGTGAGCTTTTTGAAATTTAAAGATCCACGACATAGGAAAATTTCGTTCGCTTTCTTGCCAAAATTTCATTTTACAGTTCTCCTAAAAAAACTACCCTTCCCCAGTTTACAAGAACTGACGACTCGATTGTTATCCCAGCGATGCATCAATAGCACGGATTTATTTGTTTACAATCGAGGATAGTTCCAAGTCAATGAGCGACAACCCCACCCTACCCGGCATAGGTAAAAATGTATTTCTTCTCTCCTCAGTCCTCTATCGCTTTAGCTACAAGTATGGATATTCAACATGGCAGCCAGCCAGCCTCGATCGTGGAAATCCTGCATTTCCTTCATCACTTACCCTTTTATTAGCAACATTTAGTTTACTTTCCAGCTCTGCCTGTTTACGACTGTAGTCTTCGATCTACAAAAATACAGTAAATACAATATTGCAAACAGCGCAAATGACATGTAAACATTTTTCCAAAGTTCTAGGAAACTGTGTATGCAAATATCTTGCTCAAAAGCAAATATCACATTAATTTTTATTACAAAATCGTTACAGATTCCGTTGTCTTGAAACGGAATTTTTTTAAACGATCAGACAATATCAAGAAAGGTGACAAACACGTAAATGTATGCAGTATTTCTATGAATTACAACCATGTACTTACGAGAAAACATCGCAACCAGATCGCACAAAAAATTGCAAACACGCAATGAAAAACGCAAGAACTACTTTTATAAAACATTTAACTGAATCAACCATTGTACCTTACTTGAGAGAACTAGGAAAATAAAAGGCGATAAGAACTCACCGAGTCTGTCATCTCTTTGTTTTGAGTTCGGAGCTTTGAAATCACATTATTCCGATGTGAAAGCTGTAGAGACAAAAGTATGTAGTTTTCTAGAGCTGTGCATTACTTAAAGCTTCTCTAGAGAAGTTTAACTAGAAACGCAAGAAAGCAACAAGCAGGGCTGGATAACAGCACAAACAACAAAGGCATACTTCAATGAAACATCTGTTTTATAAAGGCCGCGAGGAATTCGTGTTAAATAAAGCTAACAAATATCACAAACGACATGTTAAGAGACGATGAGCAAATACCTTAAGCACTATATTACATTATATGAACACTGAAGACACTGATAAGTTAATTTTTGATCGGGGCTACTCTTAAAATATAAGTTTGTTTACACTTCGATTCGGGCTTCACAAAGTCGCCGGTTGGGCAAAAGTTTTTGAAAACAATCGCAAATTCGCGCCTTAAGCACAGTACCTTTCATACAGTCGGTCAGACACTTCATTAAACCAGGCCAAAACGTCACAAGTTTCAAGTAAGGTCTTACAGAATCTCGAGGCAAAAGGAATCGAAATTCTGCACGAAAGCCCTCGCTGATTGCTCTCCGTAGCAAGGGACGCTAACTTTTCACACAACCGAAACAAATTTATGCAGTATGACCAATTTCAATTGATCTCTAACAAAGCAACGCCAACTGAACAATGAAGCTTTTGTTCAAGATCACACACTCATGCAAGCTTTGAAAACATGTTGAGGTTCTATCGAGTACAAGAAAACAAAGCAAATTCATCGCTACAATAAATCCAGCGAAGAAATACGAAAACAATTGCCGCTTGTTATACAGTATGATCTCTACAGAGCATTAAACTCTTTGCTTCCTTTTCCGCGCAAAGTGAAGGAAGTAACATAAACATTTCTGAAGAAGTCCACGAAAGAAATCGAAAGACATAGAAAAAAAATGTTGACATAGGATATAAAGAAAAAGAAAGAGAATAAAGTTTTACGCCTTTCCAGAAAATAAACAAGAAAGGTGAAAACAAATTAAGGTGTTAAAATAAACATAGATAGCATACTTTTTGTTCACTACTCAAGAATCATCTGCTCCATGAGAGTATATGCCTTTTGGATTTATTTTTTGCCGAGATACTAAACTCTGAGCCAGAGTTAGCAGCTTTAAAAAAATGGCTTGATTCAATGTCATCACGAATGCAAAACAAATTCAAGACTTACCTGAGCGACTGCTTCTCTGTGTTTATTATCCAAAGCAGAAAGTTCCGTCTTTAACGTTAAAATGGTATCATGGCGCTCGGCCACCTGAAACAACAACGTGATTGGTTACTTTGACAACCTACATCACCGTCAGTCCCTTGCAATAAATTAAGCCGATAATTTTCAAGCTTGTAATAATTTTGAAATTCCTATTTATCTTCACCATCCTGATATATGCTCCCTCACTTTCCATTTTTCTAATAAACGATTATCTTCAAAAAATTCACTCTATTTAACGGTCACTCTCTCTAACGCATTGGTACTAAAATCTGTCAGACGGAGAATATCGTCTTTGGTAAAAGATGAGCCCAGGGTATTGAGGTATAGTTTCACTAAAATCACCCTGGCCACGAAGCAAGCTCAGATTCGAATTATGACAGTAGTCACTGATTATTTCCCTTGACAAGACACTGTTATCTCTCAGAGATCCTCTCACCACCGAGAACTACATAATATTGGTACCAGCAAACTTAAGAAATTACGGAAGGGTCTCCTGTGGGGAACTGCCACCCCGACCAGAATAAGCAGTTATACTCCTTCTCACACACACAATGCACTGAAAACTAGAGTAAACCGGATACAAATGAGTCTCAACCCTTGAAAGACTTGACTCACTAGTCGTCATTTCCAACTTACCTCATTTGCTAGTGCGTCTCTCTGATCATTAGAAGCCACCTGCAGTCGTTTTATCTCTCTCTGGGCCGCTCTGGATTCCTCTTCTGAACGTGCAACTTGCTCGCGACACTTCACAACATCTCCTTCCAGTTGCTGAATGTGAAATTTATTCTTCTCCAGCTGAGATAAAATAAATTAGCAAATAACTTTCACCCTCATTTCCAGCTTTCGATTTGGCTTTACATTTTTGTCGCATGCGCTAAGCGAGCCCCGGAAGATATTTTCCATACCTTCCGAGGGACATTCCAACGCCCGCTAAAATTCATCTTACATCAAAATAAAATATTTTACCTCGTAAGTGCAGTTGTCAAGCTGCGATTTAAGCTCCCGGATCTCTTTTTCATACTGTTGGATCTGAAAATTAAATGAAAGCACACAAACTTTGCTCGTCGTCATCAACAACGATTGAATGAGAACAAAAAGCCAACGAAGTGATGAAATACTTTTCATCAAATCCTTTGCAAGTATGCAAAAAAAATACAGTCACGAAAACAAGGAGAAACGCGCCATGTAAGACGACACGTTAAAAACACTTGTTGCACTCATAGACAGTCAGTTCACATCAGAGGTCAAACGTCTCAAAGACAAACGGAATCTTCCATCCTTTCCTGCTCGCCCGACATGCTTTCACCACTAACCTCCTTAATAGCAGCATTATATCGGTCTTTCATATTGTCAAGCTCGGAATCCCTTGAAGTCAGCTGAAACAAAAGAAGCTAGTAAGCGAATAATATAATTTCACAATTAGATACGTCGTTAGAAGTTTAAGCGAAGCAATGCAAAAAGCAAGGGAGCAAATTTTACGCGCACATTGCGCTCAAACTGGCGGATCTCATTACGTGCATTTTATGCGCGCGCAGTGTTGCAACACGATCGGCCAGTACTGAAAATTCGACTGCGTCAGTGAATTTTTCTTAACTCCTCTCTCACACACAAAATTATTTTGTTCGGGAAATGAGCCTGCGCTCCTTGAGAGGGGGACAAAGATCGAACTCAAGAGAGCAACGAATTTCATTCAGCGTTCAACTTCTGTGCATGCGCGGACGTTGTAGTGGTTAGGGGCGTAATTCCAGGCCGGCCAAGTTGTCCAACAGGAATTAAATACAACTACGCAAGCCAGTAAGTCACAGAGTGTCAACAGCGTATAACTTTTTTTAAAAGCTCAAAAAACAAAATGGTAAATTGACAGGATACCCATAATCAAACAAGCGTTGCGTTCGAACAGTTTCAATTTTCCCTCTTACTTTTGTTTCCTTTTACAGATTTCTACGAACGTTTTCATTTTTTACCCGTATTTTGTGTGACGGCAGCTGTTTCTTACTATGTTTTTCGAAGAAATTTTGAGCGCGCGCGACCGGCCAGAATTGATCCCCTCGCGCATGCCCAACGTTTGACCGCTATGTTACGAAAATTACTGCTAACCTCGCTGACCAACACTTCTTTGTGTCCCTTGGCAGCATGCTGACTTTCGCTCAGTTGACTTTGTAGTTTGATCACTTCCTGGGCAGCTTTACGTCGCTGATCTTCAGCCACTTCCAATTCAGCCTCCAGTCGCTTAACTCGTTGTTCAAACTCCCGGGACAGATCCAATGGAATGCCTCCTTCTGAGTCTTTTAATGCCTGGACTTGTGTTTTAAGTTCACGGTTTTCTTCTTCGAGTCTTGCAACCTGTTCAATGGACACCATAATAAAATATTTCTCTAGTTCCAATAGTCTTTGGTTGTCAAGCTTGAATTTGATGAGAAAAATGTCCTTGAGCTTCAATCAAATTC